CACAGCAATGGCCCCATACATAAATTTTAGAAAACAAAGAACCGAGTAAAAAGTAAAGTTCTAGTATCTAGTCAGCTCCTGCCACCGGGGATGCGGAAGGCAAAGGTCTCAGTTCCATGACACAGGGGTATTGCTACCCTAGACTGGAAGCTCGAGTGTAAGTTCCCGTATCTTTTCACCCTGGGTTCCCAGGGCTTACTGCAGTTCTTGGTACACAGTAGGAGCTCAAACATTCCCCGAGTTGAATTCTCTACATCTCAGTACAGCTGATGGGCCAGTCCCCCTTTTCAAGTTTTAAGGACCCTCTACTAAACTACTGGTCTCATTAAGTTTTTACAGACAATTGGGATGGTTCGCCTCTGTAAAAAATAATATCAAATTTCTCAGTTTATTTGCAATAATTACGCATTTTACTCAGAATATTGCTTTATTATTTTTTAAAAATTATCTATGTGAAAGGCAGAGAGTGTGAGTAAGCTCCCATCCACTGACGCACTCCCCAGATGCATGCAACAGCCAGGGCTGAACCAGCAGCCAGGAATTCCACCCAGGTCTCCCACGTGGGTGTCAGGGATGCAAGTACTTGAGCCATCACCGGCTGTATCCCAGGGTGTGCTTAGCGGGAATGGAAGCAGAGCTGGGACTTGAACCCAGGCACTCCAACATGGGCCGCAGGTGTCCCAGGCGGTATCTCCACTGCTGCACCAAACAGGTGTGAATTTTCAGAGGGCACATTTCCACCTCACACACATCACAGAAACACGCGTGGACGGCAGAGGCCTGTCTTGCCCTACATTTTTACCTGGAGGGGGTCTGAGGCCCGACTTTCTTTTTCACGGTAGAAGAAAGTCTTTGGGAGCCAATTTTGCTGCCGCGTGCAGGTGTTTTTCTCAATGGTTCAAATAAATCTTCAGTTAAATAAACAGTTCAATCAACCTGTTTTGGTGCAATTTTCTTTTTAAACCATACAACCGGAGAAGATAGAACATAGAAGCTTAGATTCCGTCTGTGCAGTAGATGCAGGGCTGGGAGCCCAGTTCTTCCCATTCCAAAAGGGCTGTTCATTGGGAGCTTGGGCTCCACATGTCAGCTTTCTCCAGCGTCCAGGACAGAACACTGTGGCCAGGGTCAACACACAAGCCTGGGGCAGTCTGGATTCAACTGTAACACTTTTGATTAAAAAAAGCTCAAGTCCTGGGTGAGCACTTAGCCTGTGGATTAGGACGCCCACAGCCCACCTCCAGATAGCTGGGTTTGAGTCCTGTCTCCAGCTTCCTGCTAATGTAACCCCGGGAGGCAGCAGTGATGGGCCGGGTGACCGGGTTTCTGCCTCCCACACGGGAGACCTGGATTCAGTGCTGGATTGAGTTCCTGGCCCCCAGCTTTGGCCCAAGCCCAGGTCTAGCCCTTGTGGGCATTTGAGGACTGAACCAACAGAGTTGAGTTCTCTCCCTTTCTGATGTTCTGTCTCTTAGATAAATAGTAAAGACTAAAATAGGGGCTCGTGCCGTGGTGTAGTGAGTGGGTAAGGCCACTGCCTGCAGTGCTGGCATCCCATATGGGCACCGGTTTGAGTCCCGGCTGCTCCACTTCCGATTCCAGCTCTCTGCTATGGCCTGGGAAAGCAGTGGAAGATGGCCCAAATCCTTGGACCCCTGCACCCATGTGGGAGACCTGGAGGAATCTCCTGGCTCCTGGTCGGCTCAGCTCCAGCCATGATGGCCATTTGGGGATTGAACCAGCAGATAGATCTCTCTCTCTGCCTCTGCCTCTCTGTAACTCTTTCAAATAAATAAATAAATCTTTAAAAAAAGACTAAAATAAAACACAACTTAGGTTCTTCTCCACATCACCTTTTGATTCCATGTTCTTAGTGAACTTTCTGAAGCCCCTGTGCACAGCCCAGCACTTCTCTACTTCAGAGACAGGTACACCTGGGGCGGGCTTTCACTTCTATGTGACCGAGGTGCCATCCACCCAAGAAGCTACACGTAACGGAGGACACTGTTCTAAACCTGTAGGATGCATTTCATCACCTCCTTTAACACGTTACCCTGAACACTCTGCCTCCTTGTCCTGAAAACACCCTGTGTGGGGAACCTGGACAACGCACCATAACAAGGTGACGTCCTCGCGGTCTGAGGTGCGGTGGGGACCACCAACCCATTTTGTGGCTTCCAGTTTGCTTGTCCGGAAAATGGCTTTGCTTCCTCCTCAGATGCTATTCATGGGTGTGAAATCCTTGTTCTTCCTTGAATGGGGATCTCCCACTGCCTTGGGAACAAGACAATTCAACCAGATGGAACTCTGTGCATAGTAAAAGCAAAGAGGCCTGAAGAGCAGGCCCACTAGCAGCCCCCGAAAGCACAGACCCTTAACTTCCATTTCATGTCACAGCAGCCTCACTGCACAGCTCTCAAGTTCACGTTGTGTCCAGATTGGCAAGCGCACCATTCCCCTCAATTCTGAGAATCACGGGGCTGGTGGGGAGCAGCAGGTTAAGCCATCACTGTGACGTCAGCATCCCCATCAGAGTGCCAGTTCCAGTCCCGGCTGCTCCACTTCTGATCCAGCTCCCTGCTATTGTGCCTGGGAAGGCAGTGGAAGATGGCCCAAGTACCTGGGTCCCTGCACCCACATGGGAGACCCGGATGCAGTTTCTAGTTCCTGGCTTTGGCCTGCCCAGACCTGGCTGTTGTGAGCATCTAGGGAGTCAATCAGCGGATGGAATCTCTCTTTCTGTTGCTCTGCCTTTCAAATAAATAAATATCCTTTAAAAAAAGTGAATTGCAATGAAACTTTCACTAGAAACAAGACATAAACACACACACACGACTTTATTTACTGTCTCACTGGCACTGACCTTCCGCACTTAAAAATTTCCACCACTTAAAAAATAATCCTGTCCCCGAAGAAAGGAAATGTTTAAACACCCACTTAACTTTTATTTGTACTGTTCTATTGTGAACAGGTTTTTTTTTTTTTTCCTATAATGGAAGGCCTTTTGGGTTCACCTGCTGCAAAAGCCTTAGCTGCACATTCACACTAATAAATCTTCCTTCAGGAAGAAAAAAACAGAACATGAGCATAACCCTGGGTGGGTCTTAATGTTCCAGAACTCTGCTGAAGGCTGGTTACGGGGACAGTGGACACGGGGCAGTGTAGGGGCACAGAACTGACGCAGTCAGGACATCTGAAAGGATGGCTGTCATTTTAACATGAATTGAACTGAAATTCCAACAAAGCAATACTGGTAGTAGTATACTTATGATAAAGTAAAAGATTTTCTTTATTGTCATTCTCTTATCTTCCCAGTGGGAATTAAGGCTAGCCTTTTGGGCTGCCTAACAGGACCAGTAAATGTTGGAAGTATTTAGACTCTACCCTCCCATTTAATGGATGGATAAACAGAGGTGTCAGAGAGTCTGTGAAAACTGCCTACAGAAATATTTCAATTTAAGGCTCAGTACACAATCAGCTGCTGCAGTGTTACCGATAAAAGGAGCCCTGGGGCTGGCACCGCGGCTCACTAGGCTAATCCTCCCCCTACCGGCGCCGGCACACCGGGTTCTAGTCCCGGTCGGGGCGCCGGATTCTGTCCCAGTTGCCCTCTTCCAGGCCAGCTCTCTGCTGTGGCCAGGGAGTGCAGGGGAGGATGGCCCAAGTGCTTGGGCCCTGCACCCCATGGGAGACCAGAAGTACCTGGCTCCTGCCATCGGCAGCGCGGTGCCATTGGAGGGTGAACCAACGGCAAAGGAAGACCTTTCTCTCTGTCTCTCTCACTGTCCACTCTGCTTGTCAAAAAAAAAAAAAAAAAAAAAAGGAGCCCTGGTCCTAGATTTGGCTCAGAAGCAAAAGCAGTTGTCTCTGCACCACGTGAGCCTGTGTACATCATACGTGCACACAGGAGAAACAGCTCCAGCTCTTCTAGACAACCCAGGACAAGCCACGCTGTAACGCTGCAGCAGTCAGAACCACACATGGGGACTGGTCTGCAGTTCTGAGCTGCCCTTTTTAAAAAGTTTTATTTGGAAGGCAGAGTTACAGAGAGAGGGAGAGGGAATGAGAGAGAGGGAGAGTGAGGGGGGGAGGGAGAGGAGGAGAGGGAGGGTGGAGGGGGGGAAGGGGAGAGGGACAGGGAGGAGGGGAGAGGGAGGAGGAGGGGAGAGGGAGGAGGAAGGAGAGGGGGAGAGAGGTGGTGAGAGAGAGAGAGAGAAAGAAAAAGAGAGAGGGAGGGAGGGAGGGAGGGAGGGCCTCCATCTGTCGGTTTCCTCCCAAATGCCCATCACAACCAAATGGGCTAGGCCAAAGCCAGGAGCCAGGGACTCCATCTGGTTCTCCAGCACAGGTGGCTGGACACCAAGTACTTGAAGCATCATTATCTTCTGCCTTCCCAAGTGCATTATCAGGAAGCTGGATGAGAGGCAGAGTGGGAGCTAGCACTGTGGTGCAGCAGGTGAAGCCACAGCCAGCATCCCATATGGGGCTGGTTCGTGAACTGGCTGCTCCACTTCCGATCCAGCTCCCTGCTAAGGCTCCTGGGAAAGAAGCAGAAGATAGTTCAAGTCTTTGGGCCCCTGCACCCACGTGGGAGACCTGAAAGAAGCTCCTGGCTCCTGGCTTCAGGACAGCCCAGCTTCAGCTGTTGGGACCATTTGGGGAGTGAACCAACTGATGGAAGATCGCTCTCTCTGTGCCTTTCTGTAACTGACTTTCATGTAAATAAATACATCTTAGGGGGGGAAAAAAAAAGGAAGCAGAGTAGCTAGGACTGGACATGGCACTCCAATATGGCATGGCTGGTTGCAAGTGGCAGCTGAACTTGCAGGGCCACAGTGCCTGCCTCTTGAGTAGCTTTTGACATTTTAATATCAAAGGGTTTTGAAAGAGCCTGGGGCTGGAGCCTGGCTACTTGTAGTCTGCCGTTGCCTGGTTTGTGAATCGCTTGCTCTAAAGAGCTTCTTACAATGAAAAGAATAAAAAAGAAAAAGAGGCGTAGGCACATTTCCAGTCTACTTTTAATGAATATCACTCTAGGAGAGCGTGGTGAGGTCAGCCAGCTGCTCTCTGTGTAGCTTTTGCAGTAAATCCTTCAAAGAATGAAGAGTGAAGCCCGTTCATTCCTCCGCAGAATTTTTTCCTGTTGTCATCTTTTTGTAAGGTGTTTGTGTTAAGGGATGGGTAAGACACTGTTAAACACAGCCTGTCCCATGAGGGAAGAAGTCAGACACTGGATGGAAAACCTTTGCAGAGACTGGGGCAGAGTGGGAAGCGACACGGCCTCTCCTCGGCCTGACGCCACTCGGTGCACCTGTCCTCCAAGGCGGGCTGCAAACTCCAGAGGCTCAGCTGCAGAGGCATGCTGGGGTCACAGCCTGACAGCTTTTCGTGTCTTTACAACTGGGCGGGGCATCAACTGCCTTTTCCAGAATAGGCCAGGGAAGACAAGTCCAGTTTGGTTTTTAAGGCTTCCGTCAGCTCTGTGGCCAGCAGCTGGTGGAGGGATACGCCGTCGTGAGAGTACACCCAGTTTTTCCCAGTCCAGTCGTAACGCTTGGGTCCACTGGAAAACAAAACAGATACCCAGTAAGTCTGCGAGGACAGAGCTGGAGAAGAATCATGGCTTCTGAAGACACTGCCGCCGAGAAATGGGCCAGAGGGAAGCCCTAGAAAGTGGTACTTAATGACGTGCACGCTTCATTTCTCGACTGAGGGGCTTTTGGAAGACTCACATACTTTATCCTCTGGAGCAATCCACAGAATGATTCTCAACACCTGAACTCACCTGCCTGTGCTGATGAGTTTCCACACATCACGTTCTGATCTCGTCCCTTTCCTACCTCACATATGACACCTGCTGGGAGAGAGCAGTGTTCTCACATTATGGCCACTTCTGTGACTCTGACATGAGTTGGGCCTTGCCTATGCTATTATTAATTGCTGAATTCATGTAACATGGAATTAGCCATTTAAAAGCAAGCAGTTCAGGGACAAGTGTTGGGCCTCGCGGTTAAGACGCCAGTTCCAGGGTGGGTGCTGTAGTGTGCGTTGAGCTGCTGCTTGGGGTGTCCTTCCCTATTGGCTTCTCCGCTTCTGCTCCAGCTTCCTGCTAATAATGTGTCTGGGGAGGCAGCGAATAATGGCTCAACTGCTTGGGCCTCTGCCACCCGTATGGGAGACCTGGGTGAAGTTCTGTGCTCCGGGCTTCAGCCTGGTCCAGCTGTGGCTGTTGCAGTCATTTGGAGAGTGAATCAGCAGAGGGAAGACACACACTGTCTGCCTCCCTCTGCGGTTCTTCCTTTCAATCGGGTTAAAACAAACATTAAGGAAAAAAGGCCACTGGTTAGGACACCTGTGTCCCAGACCATGGTGCCTCAGTTCCACCCCAGCTCCGGTCCCTGACACCAGCCTCCTATTAACGCTTACTCTAAGAGGTGGTGGTGACAGTAAGGTGGTAGGGTTCCTGCCACCTTTACAGAAGACCTGGATTGAGTTCCTAGCTCCTGGCTTTGGCCTCCTCTCCCCTGCAGTAGTACAAACATCCAAGAAGTAAACCAGTGGATAGGAGTTCTCTCTCTCTGCCTCACAAATAAAACAAGTAAATAACAACTCAGTGGCATTTAGTGCTGTCACAATTTTTTGTAACCACTACCCCTCCCTAGTTCCGTAACATCTGCCTTACTGTAAAAGGAGACTCAGCACCCATTAAGCAGTTAGACCCAATCCCTTCTCTCCCAGCCCTGGGCAACCACCTACCCAGCTGATTTCTCAAGGGACACCACACAGGCCAGGAGAGAATGGAGAGATACAGTCCCCCCATGATGCACTCATTCATAAATAAAGGTTAAATAAAGACCTTCCAAGATAAACAAAAATTGAAATAAAAAACAAAAATTTTAAAAATCCAAAAAGAAATCAAAGAATTACAAATTGGAAGGGAAGAAGTCAAATTATTCCTGTTTGCAGACGATATGATCCTATTTACAGCGAACCCAAAGACTCTACTAGGAGACTACTGGAACTCATAGGAGAATTTGGCTAAGGTGCAGGATATAAAAATTAACACACAAAAATCAATAGCAGGGCTGGTGCTGTGGTGCAGTAAGTTAATCCTCCTCTGCCTGCAGCGCTGGCATTCCATATGGGTGCCGGTTCTAGTCCCGGCTGCTCCTCTTCCCATCCAGCTCTCTGCTGTGGTCTGGGAAAGCAGTGAAAGATGGCCCAAGCACTTGGGCCCCTGTACCTGCATGGGAGACCTGGAAGAAGCTCCTGGCTCCTGGCTTTGAATCGGCACAGCTTCGGCCATTGCAGCCATTTGGGGAGTGAACCAGCGGACAGAAGACCTTTCTCTCTGTCTCTCCCTCTTACTGTCTATAGTTCTACCTCTTAAATAAATAAATAAATAAATAAACAAATATCTTTTAAAAAATCAATAGCATCTGTATACACAAACAATGCCATAGCTTGGAAAGATCAATTCCATTCACAACAGCTACAAAAGAATTTAAATACTTCGGGATAAATTTAATCAAGGGGGCAGGCACTGTGGTGTAGTGGGTAAAGCCACTGTCTACAGTGCCAGAATCCCATATGGGCACTAGTTCAAGTCCTGGCTGTTCCACTTCTGATCCTGCTCTCTGCTATGGCCTGGGAAGGCAGTAGAAGATGGCCCAAATGCTTGGGCCCTAGCACCCATGTGGGAAACCTGGAAAAGCTCCTGGCTCCAGATCAGGGCAGCTCTGGCCATTGTGGACATTTGGTGAGTGAACCAACAGATGGAAGACCTCTCTCTCTCTCTCTCTCTCTCGCTCTCTTGCTCTCTCTCTCTGTGTTTCTGCCTCTGCCTCTCTGTAACCCTGCCTTTCAAATAAATAAATAACTCTTTAAAAAATTTTAAGAATATGAAAGATCTCTACAATGAAAATTACAAAACATTAAGGAAAGAAATAGAAGACACACACACACACAAAAATAGAAAAATCTTTCACGGTCGTGGACTGGAAGAATTAATATCATAAAAATGTCCATACTACCCAAAGCAATTGACAGATTCAATGCAATCCAAATCAGAATGCCAAAGATATTCTTCTCAGATCTAGAAAAAATGACCCTGAACCCATATGGAAACACAAGAGACCCTGAATAGCTCAAGCAATCCTGCACAATCAAAGCAAAGCTGGGGGCAGCATGATTCCAGATTCACGACACCTTACAGGGCAGTTATCATCATGGCTGCCTGGTACTGGCACAAAAATAGACAAGTGGACCAACAGAACTGATGAGAAACCCCAGGAATTAATCCAAACATATACAATCAACTAATTTTTGACAAATGAGCTAAAATCACTCCCTGGAGAAAGGCTAGTCCTTTAAGAAGTAGTGGTGAGGGCTGGTTCTGTGGTGCAGCAGGTTAGACTGCTGTCTGCAGTGCTGGCATCCCTAAGGGCACTGGTTCAAATCCTAGCTGCTCCACTCCTAATCCTGTTCCCTGCTGGTGTTCCTGGAAGAGCAGTGGAGGATGGCCTGCGTCCCTAGGCTCCTGCATCCACTTGGGAGACCCAGATGAAGCTCCTGGCTCATGGCTTGGGCCTGGCCCAGTTAGGGTCATTGCAGTCATTTGGGGGGTGTGAACCAGTGGTTGGAAAATCAAATCTCTGTCTCACCTCTTTCTCTCTGTAACTCTTTCAAATCAATAAAGCTGAAAAAACAAAACCAAAAAAACAAAGAAATAGTGTTGGGAAAATTGAGTTTCCACATGCAGAAGTTTGAAACAAGACTGCTACCTACACCTTACACAAAAATCAGCTCACAATGGATTCAAGATCTAAACTTAAGACCTGAAGCCATCAACCACTAGAGGAAAACACAGAGGAAGCGCTGCAAGACATTAGCAAAGACTTCTTGGGTAAGACCTTAAGAGCAAGGCAATAAAAGTAAAAATAGACAAATGGACAAACAGGATCATATCAAACTAAGAAGCAGTTCTGCACAGCAAAGGAAACAATCAACAAAGTGAAGAGGCAACCAACAAATGAGAGAAAATACTTACAATCTATGCATCTGATAAAGGATTTAAAAAAATTTATTTATTTATGTGAAACACAGAGCCACTGACAGAGAGAAGGACATACAGAGAGATGTTCCATTCGATGGTTCACTCCCCAAATGGCTGTAATGGCCAGGGCTGTGCCAGGCCGAAGCCAGGAGCCAGGGGCTTCCTCCAGGTCTCCCACATAGGTGCAGGGACTCAGGAACTCGGGCCATCCTCCGCTGCTCTCCCAGGCGCACCAGCAGGGAGCTGGATAGGAAATGGAGCAGTCAGGACTTGAACCAATGCCCATATGGGATGCTGGCACTGTAGGCTGTGGCTTAACCTACTATGCCATAGCACTGGCTTCCTGATAAAGCGTTATTAACCCAGAATATATAAGGAGTTTATGAAACTCCACAACAACAGAACAAACAATCCAGTTAAGAAATGGGCAAAGACTATGAACAAGCATTTTTCAAAGGGTGGGATAGAAATGGCCAACAGATCCATGAAAAGATGCTCAGGATCACTAGTCACCAGGGAGATGCAAATAAGAACCACAACAAGGTATCACCTCACCCCAGCTGGAATGGCTATTATCCAAAAGTAAAAAAATTACAAATACTGCAGAGGTTGGTGGGAATGCAAATTGATGTAACCTTTTCAGAAATCAGCTTCCTCAGAAAACTAAAAATAGATCTACCATGAAGACTCAGCTATCCACCCCTGGGAACACATCCAAAGGAAATGAAGTCAGCGTATGCAACAGATACCTACGCTCTGCCATGTACAGCAGCTCAGTTAACAACAGTAATGATATGGAACCAACCTGGATGTCCATCACGCCTGGACAAAGGAAATGTGATATATTTATACAACAGAATATTAGCCATAAAAAAGAATGACATCCTGACATCTGCAACAAAATGGATGGAATTGGAGGTCATTGCCCTACGTGAAAAAAGCCAGACCCAGAAAGATAAACGTCACATCTTCTCTTAGGTGTCAAAGCTAATATATTAGAATACAAAAACTGTGCAGATGCCATACCATTGGTGTTTAGTTACAGATACTGCTTCACTGAATCATATGATGCAGATGATAATATACTCTCTCCCCATGATATGCTCATGGTCACAAGTCCCTCACTCTGAGACATCAATGGTTTCAGGAAAATACTGTATGTCTGTGTATATATATCTACATTTGAAGTGAATGTGGCAAAATGTGAAAGAACAATGTAAAATTGTAAAAACAAAACAAAACTGTGCACAAATAGCTAAGCACAGATCCCCGAGGCCATATAAAAAGGAGGGTCACCCAGACAATGTTCCTTGCTGTACAGTCTGCCCAACCCAGCTACCGGCTGCCTGAGCCCAGGGCCCCCAGACCCAACCATCAGCCCATCCTGTAGCCTTCTTGGGGTGGGCGGGGTGTCTAGGAAAGGACACTGATTCCAAAGGACCTGAAAAGTTGTCCCGGGTGGCGGGGGGACCAGAAACGCAGCCCTATGAAAGATGTTTTAGAGCAATGTGAAAAGCGGAGAAGGAAAAACATTCTGCTTTGCAGGAAAATCTTACCTGCAGCAGTTAATGGCTGTGTGGAAGATTCTCCTCCTAAACTCCCACAGGAATCACACATTTTTAAAAAAGTACACTTGGGGGCAGGCGTTTGTTGCGGTGGCTACACCACTGCATCCCATACTGAAATGCCTGGATCGAGTCCCAGCTCCTCCACTGGCTGTCCAGCTTCCTGCTGATGTGCACCCCGAGTGGCAACAAGTGGTGGCTCTCGTGCTCGGGTCCCTGCCACCCACATGGGAGACCTGCAATGAGTTCTAGGCTCCTGGCTGTGGCCTGGTCCAGCCCTGGATGTTGTAAGGTTTTGAGAGTGAATGGAAAATTCTGGAAGGAAGATCTCTGTCTCTCTGGCTTTCAAATAAAAATGACAACAAGTTGGCCGGCGCCGCGGCTCACTAGGCTAATCCTCCGCCTTGCGGCGCTGGCACACCGGGTTCTAGTCCCGGTCGGGGCGCCGGATTCTGTCCCGGTTGCCCCTCTTCCAGGCCAGCCCTCTGCTGTGGCCAGGGAGTGCAGTGGAGGATGGCCCAGGTGCTTGGGCCCTGCACCCCATGGGAGACCAGGAAAAGCACCTGGCTCCTGGCTCCTGCCATCGGATCAGCGCGGTGTGCCGGCCGCAGCGTACCGGCCGCGGCGGCCATTGGAGGGTGAACCAACGGCAAAAGTAGACCTTTCTCTCTGTCTCTCTCTCACTGTCCACTCTGCCTGTCAAAAAAAAAAAAAAAAAAAAGACAACAAGTTAACTGTAAAAACTTAAAGAGAAGTAAATTCATAACTTTACTTGGAATTCATTCTAGTACTTGGAATTAGAGAAGTTCTTGGAATTTCTAGAAAGTTCATTTTTTAGTTAACATTTATTTGAAAAGCATTTACAGAGCCGGCACCGCAGATCACTAGGCTAATCCTCCGCCTGCGGCACTGGCACTCTGGTCGGGGTGCTGGATTCTGTCCTGGTTGCTCCTCTTCCAGTCCAGCTCTCTGCTGTGGCCTGGGAGTGCAGTGGAAGATGGCCCAGGTCCTTGGGCCCTGCACCCGCATGGGAGACCAGGAGGAAGCACCTGTTGGCCATTGCTGTTTCACCCTTTGGCTTCGGATCGGCACAGTGCACCAACTGCAACAGCCACCCAACGGAAAAAGGAAGACCTTTCTCCCTGTCTCTCTCTCCCTAACTCTGCCTGTCGAAAAAAAAAAATAAAAATAAAAAAATAAAAAAAAGAAAGAAAAGCATTTACAGATAGAAAGGGGGAGACACACATACAGATATATTCACCCCACTAGTTTACTCCCCCAAATGGCTGCAATGGCCAGGGCTGGGCCAGGTGGAAGCCATGAGCTTGGAACTCCATTTGGGTATTCCATGTGGGTGCAGCTGCCCAAGTACTTGGACTATGTTCCACTGCTTTCCCAGGCACATTAGCAGAGAACTGGATGGGAAGTGGAGCAGACCGGACTGGAACCGGTGCCCATAAGGCATGCCGGTGTCACAGGCAGGAGCTTAACCCACAATGCTGGCCCCTCTAGCGAGTCCTTATCCAGTGCAATGTACTCACAAACAGGCTGGGTAGGATCATGTTGCTGTGGGTGTATCCAATTAAGACATGGGCTTTCAGTCTCCAGAAAAGGAGCCAACTCTCTGGAACTCTCTTGGGCGGAAGGGGGTCAAGCCCTCACTCCCCAAAGGTGACAGCTGGCTTTGAGCTGATGTACCCACTGCTTGTACCAGGCCCTCTGGAGATGAAGGCCAGGTTATAGGCAAAGCCATGGCTAGGACTTGTCTTGGAGAACCAACAACAAGCTCCTGGGCAAACACAGGTTCAGACCCTCCAACCTCCTGCACCTGCAGTGCAGCCTGTGAATAAGGGCCTTGCTAGAGATGCAGCGATTTCTGGTGTTGTTTTAGTGAGTTACGTCACACTTACTGGACCAGACTCGGGGGAAGGAGGCACAACCCACCACAGTGTGAGAGACGATACAACATCAACTACCTAGAAATGATGTCCACATCAGGGGTGGGGTAACATGATAATGTTTTAAAAACACAAGTACCATGAGGTGCTCAAACAAGTCCATGCTGGTTCGATTCAGTCCTTTCCCAATTTGGCCAACGCATTCTCTGATCCAGGAAGTACTCATGGATGACCCAGGAAGTGCTCATGGATGACCCAGGAAGGCCCTCTCAGAGCATTTTGTGTGCAGCTGTCTTTCCCTTTCTTAAATCCACTTCCACAGCAGCCAGAGAAGAGGGACGAGCTCTCACTGCATGTCCTCAGGCTCTGAGATCCAGCAGGGATAGTTCCCCTATATCATCTTTTACTCCTCCAGACTGAAAACACACGGACAGAAAGGCAGGGGATTGGATGCCCTGGCTTCTAACACTCTCCCACCTCCATGGAGCACACGACCCAGGTCTGCAGGGGCCATTCCACCAACCTCGAGCTGAGATGCAGAAAACAAACCAGAGGTCAAAGTGGAACCTGCGTTGCAGACGAAGGGGATTCTGTTTGAAGGCTGCCCAATCAGAAGCAGCTTTTTGAAAGGCAGGACAATGCCTTCAGATTCAGCTGGTACCCCTGCGCCTGCTCACAGTGCCCAAATTCCCAGCAGGGAGGAGCCGTACTAGAGACCACTTGCCTACTGAGAAGGAGAGAGGCTGCAAAACACCAGGAAAGACTCACGTCCACAGACGCTGACGCAAGACGGTGCCACTTCTTCAATGGCTCACAATGTCACATGGCAAATGAGCTCAAAAAGGTCACCGAGTTTGACTTCAACATGATTTATTTACCTATTTTCATTTTATTTGAAAGGCAGAGAGATGTAGACAGACATTGTCTTCCATCTACTGATTCACTCCAGAAATGTCTAACAGCTGGGGCCGGGCCTGGCTGAGCCTGGAACTCAATCCAGGTCTCCCACAACGGTGTCAGGGATGCAGGTGCTTGGACCATCAGCTGCTGGCTCCCAGGGTGAGCCCAGGCAATGTCTTAACCACTGCCCAAATGCCTGCCCCAGACTTTCACTTCTGAACATACCTGGATGGAGATGACAGCCAGATCTGCTTGTTTGGGGTCTGCTTGTTGATCACGTAGGTCCCCAGATCGCCGCCCAGGTGAATCGTCAGGACTCCACTCTAGTGGGTCAGGTGGTGAACAGCATGAAGAAAACAAGACACAGTCAGCGCTCTGTCGGAACAGCTTCACCCTCTGTTACAGCTCCACACTCCCAGTATACGGTACACAATACGCACTAGGAAGAAATGTCGTCAAGTTAGTATTAGAAGTAGGAGGTGCCACAGAAAGGCCAGCGCTCCCAGAAGCAGGATAGTATGAATCACAGCAATGCTTTGGTCTTCTGGGAAGCATGGGGGTTAAGCAGCTTCCCCGGTTCTGAACGCTGGCCATGTGACTGCTGGCTTGCTGGCCAAACAGAACACGCTAGAGGACGGACGGTAAAGATGCAGGGGGCCGGTGTTGTGGCACAGCAGGTTAAGCTGCTGCCCGAGATGCTGGCACCCCATACAAGCGCTGGTTTGAGTCCTGGCCGTTCCACTTCCAATTTAGTTCCCTGCCAATGTGCCTGGGAAAACAACAGAAAATGGCCCAAGTGCCTGGGCCCCTGCCACTCAGGTGGGAGACCAGGATGGAGATGCTGGCTCTTGGCGTTAGCCTGGCCCAGCCCCAGCTGTTGCAGCCATTTGGAGAGTGAACCAGAGTGTAGAAGATTTAAAACGCAGCCATCCACTCTGCGGAACGCCCAGGACGGAAGGCAGGACTTCGCTGGATTCAGCAGAACGGGAGTTCCGGCTCTGTTGGGGAGAAGGCAGCCACGGCCACTGCAGGTGGCTCTATTTTCAGGCCCTTCCCATGCGTCTAACAAGGGTTCCCAGTTCCTCGAAGGCTCTGTTTTTTTTTTTCCTAAAAAGCCTCAGATTATTTTTGAAAGACCCATTGGTCCTTCTTGGCCTAATAATTGCTCATTTAAATTTGAAAGCATTCTTTCAACAAAGGAGCCCTTTACTCCTGAGGTCTCTGAAAGAAATGGTGGCCAAGGCAAGGCTAAGCCTCAGGAGGGAGCTTGGCTGTTCCCGGCCAGCCCAGGCTGGCCTTTCTCTGCACCTCCTGGTGCCCCATGCCTTCAAGGGCCCCTGAGCCACTCTGACAGCACAGCTCCCAACAGAGAGAGCTGCTCCATGCTAGACGGTGGTGACAACAGCTGATGGACAGGGGACCCAGGGATATCACTAGGCAGTTCTTCTTAATTAAAAGAAAAAATACAGAAATGGTAGAGACACTGGCAGTGCAGACAATACAAGGAAAATGAAGACACCAATAAGATACTAGCTAGTGTCTATTCAGTCTATACTGGGCATCAGCCCACATAGTGTAAACACTTCCCAACCCTACCATAACCAAGGAAGGGAGGAATCAGCGCCCCCATTTTACAGATGAGGAACGCAGAGGTTCAGAGTATCACAGATTCCTTAGTAATCCTTAGTAATCGTACAGTGATCTTAATCCAGGTCTGCTTGCGTCCAAAGGCACTATTCTTTCCATATCACGAAGCACTCTCTCTCTGGATCGCAATTTCATTAACCGGCAATACACAAGCTATTCAGTCTTGGGGAGCAGCAGCCGGCTTATTATAATTATTTTTAAATTTTCTTACAGAGAAAATCACGTCACATTAAGTTTACCACACTAACCATGTGTAAGTGTGCAGTGCACCAGTGTGAGGCACAGTCACATTTTGTGATTCATCTCCCAAACTTGTTCATCCTGCAACATTAATCCCCTACACCCATTAGATACTAATTTCCCCTTCCCAGCCCGGGGAATACCCCTTCTTTCTTCATGATGTTGACTGCCTGTTCTATTCACTTAAAATTTTTTAAAAGATATTTGTCAGGGCCAGTGCTGTGGCACAGCCTGGCCTGAAGTGCCAGCATCCCGTATGGGTGCCGGTTCGAGATCCAGTTGCTCCTCTTCCGATCCAGCTCTCTGCTGTGGCCTGGGAAAGCAGTGGAGGATGGCCCACATCCTTGGGCCCCTGCACCCATGTAGGAGACCTGGAAGAAGCTCCTGGCTCCTGGCTTCGGATCAGCGCAGCTCTGCCATTGCAGCCAATTAGGGAGTGAACCATCGGATAGAAGACCTCTCTCTTTCTTTGCCTCTCCTCTCTGAGTAACTCTGACTTTCAAATAAATAAAATAAACCTTTTTTTTTTTTTTAAAAGATTTACTTATTTGAAAGTCAGAGTTAGAGAGAGTCAGAACTCGTCTCCGCTGGTACACTCACCCAATGGCCGCAATGGCCAGCACCGGGCCAGGCCGAAGGCAGAAGTCAGGAGCTTCATATGCATCTCCCATGTGAGTGGCAGGGGCCCAAACTCTTGGGCCATCTTCCGCTGCTTTCCTAGGCCATTAGCAGGGAGCTGGATCAGAAGTGGAGCAGCTTATTTAAGGGATGCCGGAATCACATGCAGTGGCTTAACCTGCTATACCACAGCTTTCCCCTGGAGAGTGGAGACACCTAAGGCCCCTTTGGCTGCACAGGAACAGGCTACAGAAGCCGGCCAATCCCAGCGGCCCAAAGCTCTTCATAGAGATGCACGGGAAGCTGGGTTTGGCAGCCACTGAGCAGAGAGTGTGGCCACTGCTGGAATCCTGGCATGCTGGCAGAGCTTGGGGGTGAAGCCGCAGCTCCACAGATCCTCTAAGAACAGGACGCATGACTGTTCTTGTGGCTTATGAATCAATGCCTGCGTGGGCAGAGTGGAGCCTGAGACCTGGCTTCCCTGTACCACAGCCCCTGGCTGGGGGGCTGGGGGGAGAAGGCCTGGAATCCGTGCCAGCTCGCATCTGGGCATGGCTGCTGCCGCTGGCAGGCCGGCGTGGAAGGACTCCCGAGCAGCGTGGTCCTCGGGGGTGGTCCGCTGAGCACGCAAAGCCCTGTGCCAGCACTGCTGCTGACAACGCTCAGTGAATCCACCCAGAAGGCAGGCAGGCAGGCAGGCAGGCAGTCCTCTCCGGCCCCACTGCTCCCATCTCTCACTGCCAGGTCCCTGTTGTCCTCACGGCCAGGCCTGGCACCTTGTTGGAGACTCTGCTGCCTGCTCCGTCGCACAGAGCCCCCTCTCTCTGCAGCGCTCCCGCTGTGGCTGCCCAACGCCCTCTGACACCTCGTCCATCTGACAGCTAACTGTTCTACATAATTCCATGACTTAATCCAAAACACACCCTTCCTGACACTTCTCGGGCTTAATTCATTAGTGTCAAGAGGATTAACCTCGGCGGGTGGATGGGTGCTGGGGGATTTTCTGCCACTGGTAATAAGAGAGCTGCTCTAAGGCCAAAGCAGTGATTCTAAATCCGGGGGCTGGCACTGCGGCTGGCAGGTTAGCTGCAGTCTGCGAAACGGGCGTCCCACATCAGAATGCAGACTCGAGTCCTGGCTGCTCTGCTTCTGACCCAGCTTACTGCTAATGCAGTTGGGAAAGCAGCAGAGGATGGCCCAAGTATTCGGATTCCCACCACTCACATAGGACACCAGGATGGAGTTCCCGGCTTCTGGCTTGGGCTGGGCCCAGCTCTGGCTACTGTGAACATGCGGGGAGTGAACCAGCAGATGGAAGACCCTCTCCCTTTCTCTCTCCCTTTCTGCTGCTCAGCTTTTCATATAAATAAAATAATAATTACAAATCCAAGGCCCGCTTCTTGCTCATGTCTGCCACCTGGTGGCAACTTAATAAAGACCAACACTTGTTAGGCTTCTGAGGCCAAGGTCTTATCCAGGTCATAAGTTCTCACGCCAGGAAGCTGCATGTTTAGAATCTCCTGGGAAACTTGAAAACTCCTGGTGCCCTGCCCAGGCCACACCCTAAACCAATTAGCTCAAACTGTCTAGGAGTGAGACTCAGATAGACACATTAGAATTCCAAGAGTTTTTCAAAAATACATTTCTCAGAAATGCATCCAACCCACCACACCAGAATCTCGCAGGAGCGGGGCATGGCCATGGGGTTGGAGTGACTCTCACACAGTTATCTCACCCTTACTAGAACTCATGGTCTAGTTCAATGCTTCCCAGGCCTCCACTGCCAGCCAGAGCCCTCCCCGACCCTCCCGGGTGAAGCCCGAGAGTCTCTATTTTCAACCAGAAACGAGAGAGGCTGAGCAACATGCATGGGGTTACTGTAGGGCCACTGTGCCGCAAAGCCTGCCCCAGAAAAATAAAAGGAAGCCAAGAGGGACAGGCGTTTGGTGCAGGGGTGAAGTCGCCACTGGGGATGCCCGAATTGTATATGTGAGTGCCTGGTTTGAGTCCTGGTTCCTCTGACCCAGTTCCTGCTGACGCATACCCTGGGAAGCAGCAGGTGACGACTCAAGTTCTTGAGTTCCTGCCATTCACGTGGGACACTGACTGAGCTCTGACCTCTTGGCTTTGGACTAGCCCAGCCTGGGCTACTGCAGACATCTGGGGCGTAAACCAGCAGATGGAAAATCTCTCCATCTCTGTGCCATTCAGGGAAATTAAAATAAAAACAACTTCTAAAAACATTAATAAAATACAAATAAGCCCACAGTTACCCCAAAGGAGACGTCATAGTCCTTCAGCGTATAGGGCTTGTCTGCAAGATCTTCAAAAAACTCAGCCAGCGAGTCGAGCGTCTCCTCTGCCAGCCGCTCATACGTGGTCTCGTCTAGAGAGCTGCGGGGGAGAAACCACAGAAATGGACTTTCACCAAACCACTGGACTTGAGTAACATCAGGTTTATACAGCCGCTTAAACCTCAAAGACTGATAGGAGGTACCGGACATACACAATGCACAAAAGAGGTTACAGTTAGAAGTGAACAGGCAGTCCCCAGACAACTATTTTTATCAGACTTTTCTGTATCCTTCCAGAATTTTCCATGCTTGTATATATACAAATAAAGCACCTGTGTGTCTCACTTAATATGCCTTGTTTACTGTTTCATGTGAGCATTTATGTCTATTCATATTTTGTTACGTATGCAACCCACCTTCAGCTGGACACAGAGGCCATTTCCCTTGCTTTTGTTATTTTTTTAACTTTTATTTAATAAATATAAAGTATATTTATATATATATAAATATAAGTATAGCTTTTGGATTACAGTGGTTTTTTTTCCTCCTCATAACTTCCCTCCCACCTGCAACCCTCCCATCTCCCGCTCCCTCTCCCATTCCATTCACATCAAGATTCATTTTCAATTATCTTTATATACAGAAGATCAATTTAGTATATATTAAGTAAAGATTTCAACAGTTTGCACCGGACAGAAACACAAAATGCTAAGTACTGTTTGAGTACTAGTTATAGCATTAATTTACATTATATAACACATTAAGGACAGAGATCCTACATGAGGAGTAAGTGCACAGTGACTCTTGTTGTTGACAACTGACACGTTTGTTTATGGTGTCAGTAATCACCCAAGGCTCTTGTCATGAGTTGCCAAGGCTATGGGAAGCCTTTTGAGTTCGCCAACTCCGATCTTATTTAGACAAGGTCATAGTCAAAGTGGAAGTTCTCTCTTCCCTTCAGAGAAAGGTACCTCCTTCTTTGATGGCCTGTTCTTTCCACTGGGATTTCACTCGCAGAGATCTTTCAATTAGGTGTTTTTTTTTTTTGTTTTTTTGTTTTTTTTTTGCCAGAGTGTCTTGGCTTTCCATGCCTAAAATACTCTCATGGGCTCTTCAGCCAGATCCGAATGCCTTAAGGGCTGATTCTGAGGCCAGAGTGCTGTTTAGGACACCTGCCATTCTATGAGTCTGCTGTGTATCCCACTTCCCATGTTGGATCATTCTCTCCTTTTTAATTCTTTCAGTTAGTATTAGCAGACACTAGTCTTGTTTATGTGATCCCTTTCATTATGATCAATTGTGAACTGAAACTGATCACTTGGACTAGTGAGATGGCATTGGTACATGCCACCCTGATGGGATTGAACTGGAATCCCCTGGCACGTTTCTAACTCTACCATTTGGGGCAAGTCCGATTGAGCATGTCCCAAACTGTACATCTCCTCCCTCTCTTATTCCCACCCTTATATTTAACAGGGATCACTTTTCAGTTAAATTTAAACACCTAAGAATAATCGTGTGTTTTTTTTTTTTTAATCGTGTGTTAATTAAAGAGTTCAACCAAAAGTATTAAGTAGAACACAAAAAGAAATAATAAAAGAGATAAAGTATTAAGTTGCTCATTAACAGGACAAGGGCTGATCAAGTCACTGTTTCTCATAGTGTCCATTTCACTTCAATGCTTTTGATATTAAAAGGTATGCTGGGCAAGCCACCAAGTGGAGGAAACACGGGAGGACTTCGGAAAGTTTGTGGAAAAGTGAAATTGAGGGGCTGGCACTGTGGCATAGTGAGTAAAGCCACCACCTGCAGTGCCGGCATCCCATGTGGGTGCTAATTCAAGTCCTGGCCGCTCTACTTCCGATCCAGCTCTCTGCTATGGCCTAGGAAAGCAGTTAGAAGATGGCCCAAGTCCTTGGGTCCCTGTGCCAGCATGGGAGACCTGGAGGAAACTCCTGGCTCCTAGCTTCGGATTGGCGAAGCTTCAACCTTTGCAGCCAACTGGGGAATGAACCAGCGGATGGAAGACCTCTCTCTCTCTGCCTCTCCTTCTCTCTCTGTGTAACTCTTTCAAATAAATAAAAATAAATTTAAAAAAATAAGAAAAGTGAAACTAAAAGGTAAGTTTATTTTGGTACAAAAACTTTTGAAATCCATGCAGCATTTTCCTAATTTGCAATTGTCATATTTTGAACTTTCTTAAGACCCCTCATATTTGCATGACATCTATCTGAAAAAAGCCTCATCCAGAATACATAAAGAACTCTACAAGCCAGTAAGAAAACACCCATTAGAAAACCGTTTAAAATACTTACACATACTTCAGAAAAAAATCCAAATGGCCAATGAATGTATGAAAAAGAGTGCAACTTGGTTCATCATCAGGAAAAGGCAAATTAAGAAAGTACCATGAGGGGCTAGTACTATAGCATATTGGGTAAAGCTGCCACTGGCGGTGCCAGCAACCCATGTGGGCGCCATTCCAAGACCTGGCTCCTCCACTTCCGATCCAGCTCTCTGCTGTGGCCTGGGAAAGCAGCAGCAGATGGTCCAAGTCCTTGGGCCCCTGCACCCACATAGGAGAACTCAATGAAGCTCCTGGTTCCTGGCTTTGGATCGGCCCAGCTTCAGCTGTTGCAGCCATCTGGGGAGTGAGCCAGCAGATAGAAGATCTCTCTCTCTCTCTCTGCCTCTGCCTCTCTTAACTCTGTCTTTCAAATAAATACATAAATAAATATTTAAAAAACAAAAAGCACCATGAAGTATCACCAGAATGGTTAAAATGAAAAAGACAGATAATTCCAACAGCAGGGCAGCAAACAGAGCTCCCAGATACTGCTGACAGGCATCTATATGGGACGGTCACTTTGGAAATGCGTCTCTTCGAGCAATGTTTACCAAAGTTGACACGTGCACATGCTCCGACCCCTCTCTTCCACTCTGGGATGCAAAAAACAGAAGTGCACGCCCAGGTTCACCCAACGACACAGGCATGCTAGCCAGGGTGTCCACAGCAGAGAGAGCCTCCAGTCTCCACTGAAAGCTGTGAAGGCCTGCACTGGTTACATAAGAGAACAGATACGCTAATTGTGGTCATATTCCCACAGCAGGATAGTACATAGCAAACTAGAAGTGTCTATAACCCTAAGAGCAAACATGAATCTAGAAGCCACACACAAACATACTTCCTATACTTAACACTACTGCTTATATAAAGGAAAACAAGAGGCAACACTAATCCATGGTGTTAGAAATCAGAACGGAAGCCATCTAAGGGTGCCAACGAATGGAAGGCTGAGGGCAGGCAGGGCTAATGACAGGAGGGAGAGGAGGCCTGTCCGGGGCTCTGCCATTCTGTGTCTTCAGCTGCCTGCCAGTTCCATGAGTTTGTTCAGCGTTTTCAAACTCAGCAGGCTGCATACGAGACCTGGAGACATTTCTGTATGGATACTACTCTTCCATTTTTAAAAAGTCACTGCAAATCCATGAGGAGAGAAAGACGACTGGTGGCTGCAAGGAGCTGGGAAAAGGAGGAAGGGGAGTGAGCGTGAACGGATACAGGGCTTCTTTCTGGAAACATGAAGATGTTCTGGAATCAATGGGTAGTTGCCAACCATGTGAATATACTAAACCCCCAGAACTGCACAATTTAAAATAGTGAATTATAATAGTAAAACTATAGCTACTGTCAACACCCTTCTATGAGCTTGTGTGCACCTGTGGGGCTATATCTGTGGGTTCTAAAGTGTACACCAGACAACTCCATTACCTCAGTTTCCAGGGGGCTAACGTAAGACAGTTGGGCCTACTGGACAATTACCACAAACCAAAAAGGATGTACTCACGACCCCTCCCCACGCAGCCCATCCCCCACTTCAAGGGTACAACGTGGAGACAGCTATGGGACTGCCTAGACAAGGGAGGGGCCATTCTCCAAGAAGGCTGGGGAGGGGAGGCTGGTGGATCTGCATCTAGAGGAATTTGGTAAACACAAAGACTCAGGGGAAGAGCTAGGCAGGTGCTCCCTGATGACAGAGAACGGGCCCAGTGGGAGGCCCCATGCCTCCACGGGGGTAGGGGCATCCTGGCAGGACTCTGCCACCCTCTCAGGACACCTGCAGGGGCACCAGAGTGCCGGAAGCAGGGGCTGGAAATGGGTGGCACCAAAGCAAACCCCGAAAACACATAGTCCATAGTCCACAGCATGTGCTTAGAGAATTCGGGGCAGGGAAGCTTGCTCGGCTCTCTGGGCCCGTGAGCCCAGCATGTGCCGCCATCTATAAACCTAGCGCCCGTGATGACCTGGAAGGCCGGCAGCATACAGCAGCATACCACTACTGTGCGATGCTGGCTGTGTTGGCTTCTTGTTGCTTCCAGCAGGTGTGCTGGGGGAAGGTGAGCCAGGAGCGAAGCGGCTTTCAGAGAAGAAAGGCCACACAAAGATGAAGAGGTCAAAGGGAGAATCCCTGGTTCTGAATACAGAAGACCTGCCAGGACCTAAGGAAAGGGACCCAACCACGTTGGAAAAACCAGGATGGGGCCGGCGTCACGGCTCAATAGGCTAATCCTCCGCCTGCGGTGCCGGCACCCCGGGTTCTAGTCCCGGTCGGGGTGCCGGATTCTGTCCTGGTTGCCCCTCTTCCAGTCCAGCTCTCTGCTGTGGCCAGGGAGTGCAGTGGAGGATGGCCCAGGTCCTTGGGCCCTTGCACCCGCATGGGAGAACAGGAGAAGCACCTGGCTCCTGGCTTTGGATCAGCGCGATGCACCGGCTGTGGCGGCCATTGGAGGGTGAACCAACGGCAATAGGAAGACCTTTCTCTCTGTCTCTCTCTCTCACTGTCCACTCTGCCTGTCAAAAAAAAAAAAAAAAAAAAAATCCAGGTTGGGGCACTGCTGGGCCACCACCTTATGAGATGACGTACCTGCTTTTTGGTCGAGAGAGCTGGGCACCTGGCATGCAAAGAAACAAGACAGGGCTGCTGTTGTGGTGTAGCAGGTTAAGCTGCCATCTGTGACACCAGTGTCCCATATGGGTGTCAGATCCAGTCCTGGCTGCTCTACTTCCAATCCAGCTCTCTGCAAATGGTCTAGGAGAGCAGCAGAAGATGGCCCAAGTGCTTGGGCCCCTTGTACCCACACGGGAGACTAGGCTGGAGTTTCAGGCTTCTGGCATTGGCCTGGCCCAACCCTAGCCATTTGGGCCATTGGGGGAGTGAACCAGACAGAAGAACAAAGGAGCGGTACTGTGGAGTAGTAGGCTACGCCTTTGCTTGCAGGGAAGCCCATCCCATATGGGCGCTGGTTCAAGTCCTAACTGCTGCTTTTCTGATCCAGCTCTCTGCTGATGGCCTGGGAAAGCAGTGGAGGATGGCCCAAGTGCCTGGACCCCTGGACCCCTGCACCTGCGTGGGAGACCTGGAAGAAGCTCAAGACCTCTGGCTTCGGATCGGCCCAGCTCCAGCCACTGCAGCCATTTGGGAGTGAACTGGCAGATGGAAGACTTCTCTCTCTGTCTCTCCCTCTGCCTTTCAAATAAATAAATAAATCTCAAAAAAAAAAAAAAAAAAAAGGAAAGCAAGCAAGCAAGCAAGAAACAAGGCAGCCGCAGACTCCCACCCAAGGAAGCAACTTGGATGTGGACAGTGACCTTGGAACTGGGAGTAAACAGACCGGAAGCCTACCAGGTTCCAGGGGAAAATCCCACCGCCATATGAAAGTCACTCTGGCCTGAAACAGCTTCCTACTGGAGCCTTATAACAGCCTTCACACTCCAAACTGTTCTCGGCAGAAGTGGCCCCTCCCACTGCCCGCCTCCTCACAGGCACGGAGGCAGCGGCCCCGCCCCTCGCCCCAGCCCCCGCCACTCCCGCTGGAGCAGAGGCTGCCCCTGGCTGCCCAGCAGGACTCCAGCACAGCTCAGGGCCAGGACAAGCCCCCTTCCTGAACGGGTGCCCTGCCCTCTCCATCAGCGTGCTGTGCAGGACAGTCCACGCAGGAATCCCTCGGCAGGGGCTCCCTGCAGCTGTGTCTGCCCCTGCCAACGCCCCCGCACGACTACGTTTCCCAGCCTTCCCTGGGTTAGCTGGAGCCGGATACCCACGGGGACAGGGCCACCTCCAGCCCTCCTCTGCTCCCAGCCCCTTCTGTAGAACAGGACTCGGACAACGCGACCCAGCCTTGACAAGGCACAGGACACTGAGGCACTGGCAGGCGGGGGAGGAGCTGGCGTGACGCGTTCCATGGAAGAACGCCGCCCTGGGCTGCGCAGTGAGGGCGATGCGAACCCCTACGGGTGTGACCACGACATTCTTAGGTCTCCTCCGTACAAGGCTGTGGCAAACCCTAACTACTGGGATACTCAAAGAACGAGTAACAAAACTCCAGAATCAGCCTCAGTGTCCAGCCGCAGGGGCCACTCACCACGCCGTAATGCTTCTTCGTTGAAAGTAACGTGGTGGCCGCCCAGTACTGCGGGAAGCTGTGCGTGCTGGCGCCCAGGGAAAAACGGGGTCTGTATGGGAGGGGCAAACTGTGCCACCAAGGGACCCTCCTCTTACCCGGGGTCACCTGACTCTCCGGACGTCCTCAAGGTCATCAGACAGACTTTCTGCTTCTTCACACGCAGCAGCGGGCTGAGGCACTGGACGGTGAAACTCTAAAAGTGGAGAACATGACCTCCTGGTCAGTGCATCACAACCCAGCCACACATTGGTTTGTTGTTTTAATTGCCACTGCTACACTTGAAAGTAACCACATGGCCGGCGCCGCGGCATAGGCTAATCCTCCGCCTAGCGGCACCGGCACACCAGGTTCTCGTCCCGGTCGGGACGCTGGATTCTGTCCCGGTTACCCCTCTTCCAGGCCAGCTCTCTGCTGTGGCCAGGGAGTACAGTGGAGGATGGCCCAAGTCCTTGGGCCCTGCACCCCATGGGAGACCAGGAGAAGCACCTGGCTCCTGCCATCGGATCAGCACGGTGCACCGGCCATTGCAGGGTGAACCGACAGCAAAAGGAAGACCTTTCTCTCTTTCTCTCTCACTGTCCACTTTGCCTGTCAAAAAAAAAAAAAAAAAAAAAATAGAAAGAAAGAAAGAAAGAAAGTAACCACACGACAGTGCTTTTTAAAGATTTATTTATGGGGCCGGCGCTGTGGTATAGTTGGTAAAGCCGCTGTCTGCAGTGGGCATCCCATACAGGTGCTGGTTCAAGTCCCAGGTGCTCCACTTCTCATCCAGCTCTCTGCTATGGCCTGGGAAAGCAGTAGAAGATGGCCCAAATCCTTGGGTTCCTGCACCCACATGAGACCTGGAAGAAGCTCCAGGCTCCTGGTTTTGGATGGGTCCAGCTCCAGCCTTTGTAGCCATTTGGGGAGTGAACCAGCAGATGGAAGATCTCTCTCTCTCTTTCTTTCTCTCTCTCTGCTTCTGCCCCTCTGTAACTCTGCCTTTCAAATAATAAATAAACATTTATTTATTTGAAAGACAGGGAGACAGAGAAACAAAGAGATCTTCCACCCACTGGCTCACTCCTCAAATGGCCACAACAACCACAGACGGGCCAGGCAGAAGCCTGGAGCCTGGAACTCTGTTCAGATCTCCCCTGTGGTGGCAGGGACCCCAGCACTTGAGCCAACTTCTGCAGCTTTCCCAGGTGCATCAGCAGGGAGCTGGATCAGAAGCAGAGAAGTCGAGTCTCAGAACCAGTGCTCATGTGGGATGCTGGCGTTGCGGGCAGCGGCTTACTCCACTGTGCCACAACACAGGCCCCTTTAAACGTTCTCTAAGGCACTACAGTGGGTTCCCTTAGTGTCCTTCTAAGCGTAAGCTGTCTAATATGATAGCCAAGAGCCACACAGAGTTACTTAAATTTATTGAGCTAAAGCAAAGTCAGTCCTCCACTGCTGGCCATGCTTCAAGTGTCCAGTGGCCACACGTGGCCAGCGGCAGGCACAGAATGTTTGCACCCTGGCAGAGGCTCTGCTGGGCAGTGCTGCGGGAGGCCGCTGAGCAGGAGGCAGGAGGAGGCATAGGCAACGCTCCCAGAACTCTACTAAGACAAGTAACACTAAACAGCAAGAGGCAGAAGCCTGCAGAGGTCTGGAGAGAGGCTGGGAGAGCCCCTGGTTGTCTGACAGCCTTATGAGCATGACCCACAGGACTGGATGGGTGTGACCTGTTGGTTTCATCAGCCCCCAGCTGCTGGGCTGGGTCATAGGGCCCAAGCTGACCACCACCCGCTCTGCTGTGTGAGTCCTACTGACCGGATGCGAAGATGGATGGAATATCTGGGTGAGAACACGAGAGGGGGATGTGTAGCAGGGAGGAGGCTGCGGGAGCGATGGGGTGGGGGTGGGGGCACCGCGGGGCCTCGTGAAGGAGCCGCACGCACTAGGCTGCAGTCTGGGAAGGCACCGAAGGGCTTGGATTTTGGTGGTAAGGCCGATGCTCTCCCAAGGTCAGGCGGGTTGCCGCAGAGAGCAGGGGTAGAGCCAGTTACTGCTCTGGAGCCAGCAGTCTCTTGGCAAGCTCAGAAAAAAGGCAGCAGGCACGGGCTGGGAAGTGAGCAATGCAGGAGGAAATGGGCACAGTGCACCGTGGCTCTGGAGGAGCTGTGAGAGGGCCACCATGACACCCACACTCACTGTGGTAGCTACACATGTTCTAGAATGTTTTCCATCTGCTTGGCACTGCTGAGTTATTGTCCCTTTTTTTTTTTTTTTTAAAGTTTATTTTATTATTTAAAAGTCAATTTCAGAGAGAGAGAGAGAGAGAGCAAGAGAGAATCTTCCATTCTCTGGTTTATTCCCAAAATGGCCACAGTGGCTGGAGGTGGGCCAGGCCAAAGCCAGGAGCCAGGAGCTTCTTCCAGGTCTCCCACATGGGTTCAGGTGCTCAAGGACCTGGGCCATCTTCCACTGCTTTCCCAGGAGCATCAGCAGGGAGCTGGATCAGAAGTGGAGCAGCCAGGATTCAAACCAGTGCCCACATGGGATGTCGGCGCTGCAGCCTGTGGCTTAACCCGCTGCACCACAACACGGGCCCCACTGAGTCTTCCTAAGAACTTATTTGTCTGGAGCCAATGCTGTGGCATAGCAGGTTATGCTGACCCCTGCAGCACCAACATCTCATACGGGTGCCAGTTTGAATCCTGGCTGCTCCACTTCAGATCCAGCTCCTTGACAACGTGCTTGGGAAGGCTGTGGAGGACAGCCCAAGTGCTTGGGCCGACTTGGAGACCCAGATGAAGCTCCTGGACCCTGGCTTTGGATCAGCCCAGCTTGGCCGTTGCAGCCATTTGGGCAGTGAACCAGCAGATGGAAGATCTACCTCTGTCTCCCTCTCTCCCTGTAACTCGGCCTTTCAAATAAATAAACAAATCTTTAAAACACACACACACACACACCTTATTTGTCTTTATTTATTTGAAAGGCAAAGAGAGATCTTCCATCCTCTGGTTCACAACACCCAGGTCTGGGTCAGGTGGAAATAGGGAATCGGGAACTCAATTCAAGTCTCCCAGACAAATGGCAGGGATCTAATTACTTGAGCCATTATCTGCTGCCCGCAGGGTGTGCACTAACAGGAAACTGAAATCAGAAACAGAGCGTGGGCTGGCATTGTGGCACGCAGAGTTAAGCCACCACCTGCAAAGCTGGCTTGCTGTGTGTGCTGTGCACCAATTCATGTCCCAGCTGCTCCACCCCTGATCCAGTTCCCTGCTAATGCGCCTAGGAAAACAGCAGAAGATGACCTGATTACTTGGGCCCCTGCCACCCATGTGGGAGACCCAGATGGAGTTCTAGGCTCCTGGCTTTGGTCTGACCCAGCCCAGGCTATTGTGGCCATTTGGGAAGTGAACCAGCGGATGGAAGATAGATTAATCTCTCCCTCTGTAACTCTTTCAAATAAATAAATCTTAAAAAAAAAAAAGAAAGAAAGAAAGAAAGAAAAGAAGGAAGAAAATAAGGGGCTAGCCTTGTGGCGTAGTGAGTAAAGCCGCTGCTTGCAGTGCCAGCATCCCATATGAGTGCTGGTTCGAGTCCTGGCTGCTCTTCTTCTGATCCAGCTCTCTGCTGTGGCCTGGGAAAGCAATAGAAGATGGCCCAAGTCCTTGGGCCCCTACATCCACGTTGGAGACCCTGAAGAAGCTCCTGGCTCCTGGCTTTGGATCAGCACAGCTCCAGCCATTGCAGCCAACTGGGGAGTGAACCTGCAGATGGAAGATCTCTCTGTCTCTGTCTCTCCTTTCTCTTTGTAACTCTGCCTTTCAAATAAATAAATAAATCTTAAAAAAAAAAAAAAAAAAGGAAGGAAGAAAATGAAACAGAGCCGGGATTTGAACCAGTGCTCTGATAAGAGAGGTGGGTGTCCCAGTTGAGCGATTTAGCCCACGGTACCATGACATGCACCCTCGAGCGACATCCTAACAGCTGTGCCAAACGCCCGCCCCTTAGTCCTTCCATACACAGCCTCCTGCAGTCCTCATGACAGCCCTGTGAGGGCAGCACTACCAGTGCAGCAGCCACTCATGCTGCTATCAAGTTGCCGGAGAGAATTAGTGAATTATTCCAAGGGGAAATACAAGGTGAGCTTCGTGCAAGCCTCTGGTCACACCATGCTCACAGAGCACTCAATTTTAGGAGTGTTTATGCTTAAAGACACCTCATTCGGTGTATCTGCTACTAATGCATGAACCGCGAACAGCACCGTGGCTCCCGCCTGCATGAGGCTCAGCCACAGCGTGCCTTTCCTCTGTACAGCCCCTCCCAGCCTTCTGCCACTCACTTCCGTTCTGCTTGGGGACCACTTTTTTTTTCTTTCTTTTTGACAGGCAGAGTGGACAGTGAGAGAGAGAGACAAAGAGAAAGGTCTTCCTTTGCCGTTGGTTCACCCTCCAGTGGGTGAACCGTGCTGATCCAAAGGCAGGAGCCAGGTGCTTCTCCTGGTCTCCCATGGGGTGCAGGGCCCAAGCACTTGGGCCATCCTCCACTGCACTCCTGGGCCACAGCAGAGAGCTGGCCTGGAAGAGGGGCAACCGGGACAGAATCCGGCACCCCGACCGGGACTAGAACCCGGTGTGCCAGCGCCGCAAGGCAGAGGATTAGCCTAGTGAGCTGCGGCGCCGGCCGGGGACCACTTTCAATAGTGGAACACGCACACACACAGCACTGAAGCTTACACAGAGCACACCTGCTCATACTAAGAGAGCTGAAACAGATGCCAAAATGAGGGCAACTTTGCTCTCTGCTGGGAGCATGAGCATGGCGGGGTTCAAGTTTTTGGCCACTGTTTACCTGTCTGCAGACTGGGGGCAAAAGCATCAAGAGTTAAAAAAAAAAAATCTGGTAAGCAGGTAAATTCCCAAGTTCAGGTCTGCCAATAATGAGCACTGACTTAGTAGTCACATTATACAGATGAGAAAATAGAGGTGCCAGGGTAACTTGCCCAGGGTCAAGCAGATATAAGGATATAAAGGGGTGGGGTTGGGATGGAGGCCACGCTGCCTGGTCCCCGGAGTTGTGCCACAGAGTCAGAGCAGCGCTGAAAACACGGAGGGAGAGGCGGCAAACCCTGCTGGGCTCATCTCAGGAGATGTCCCTCCTCCCCAGGATCCTATCTTCTCAAGCCCACTGGGCTAGTCTCTCTGGTACCTTCGTACAAGTAGTTTCCTGTTGCGCTGATAAAAAAGATTTATTCACTTATTTGAAAGGCAGAGAGAGAGACAGAGATCCTCCATCCGTTGGTTCATTCTGCAGATGGCTGCAACAACTATGGCTGGGCCAGGCTGAAGCCAGGAGCCTGGAGCTCCATCTGGGTTTCCAGGGGCCCACGCCCATGCAGGGGCCCAAGCACTTGGGCCATCTTCCACTGTTTTCCCAGGTGCATTAGCAGGGAGCTGGATCAGACATGGAGCAGCTGGAATTCAAACTGGCACCCGACATGGGATGCTGATGCTGCAGGTGGCAGCTTACCTTGCTACTCCACAACGCCAATTGTATACGGTTTTACTGGTGTTCCTGGAGGGGGGATGCCCGTTCCCCCTTCACAGCCAAAAGCAAGAGTTTTCATGCAGCTCTTCTCATTCGCAAAAAGAAACCATTACCAAATATGCCTGGCCTTACCCACTTTGGCCCATGTACCATTCCTTGGGTGACAGCTGATCCCTTGGGGCGCTCACTTTTCTCCACTAAGGAGGGGCTGTGGAGCTATGCTTGCACACTGCTGCAGGATTAAATAAGACACCAGGAACACCCCAAGTTCAGGGCCTGGGCAATCAACCTCTATTTTGAAACATAACAAAAGCATGGAGACCCTGGGGTCCCAGAGGGCAAAGCCTGCTCTGCTCTGCTCTGCTCCGCTGGGGACAGGCAGATGGAAGCCCGGTGCAGCACTGGGAGTGCACACTCCAGCCACCCCTCCTTGTAACTCCAGGTCTCCCAGGAGCCCTGGGACTTTACTTCCCTGGGAGGTTTGCCTTGCTCAAGGCTGCAGAGGCAGCTCACAGGACACATATGAGGAAACACTAGATAATGTCCTGGCCTCAGGGCTTGGGCAGCCCCCCCCCCCCATCCTCCTGCAGCCTGGGGCTCTGTCACAGCACAGCACTTGCGGGATGAATCAGAGGATGGACTGATACAGCCACTTTGGGCAGAAACTGCGTGGATTCTTGGCTGGCCTTTTGCCCAGCTGTTCCACTCTGAGGAATTCATGCAAAAGGAACTTCCACGCACACGCAGTGCAGCAAGCCGACTGTCACCAGAAGGAGACTAGAGGATGTGCGACACATAAGGTGTGCGTCCCAGCAAGAGGCTCCTGTGTAACAGTACAAGGTTTAGGGAGAGACACCCAGAAGCAAAAGTCTACGGAAAGGAGAAGATTCCCAGACCGCAGGCCAGCAGGCTGCCCCTGGGGAGGGCATGGCAGTGAAGGCGGGCTGCACACGGGGCCACCTGACGAACACATCCCTCTCTCAATCTAGGGTCCGCCAGGCTACTGTACCGGATACCAAAGGCTGCGTGGCTCTCACAGAAGAGACACCTGCTTCTGAGAGCTCTGGAGGCTGCCAAGTGCCCGATCAGGGTGTTGATGGCTTTGATGTCTGCTGAGGGCCTGGTTCCTGGTTCGCAGATGGCAGAAGGGGCGAAGGAGCCCCCTCGGGGTATCCTGGAAGGGCACTAATCCCTGTCCCAAGGATGCTGGGACTCCTGACCCACTCACCTGCATGGCTACACTTCCTACCTCCATCACCCGGATGACCAGGGGTCAACATGGAAATGCGGGGGGTAGGGGTGTCAGGGGACACATTCAGACCCTATCATGTATTGCTGATCGCTAAGCAACACAGATGGTTAATAACCCCTTGTGCATGTATAAACTTGTGTATATATCTATGGCAGACAAGGCAAATGAATTTAAACTGCATTAGGGCGTATGTTGCTAGTCAGACCCCCAGCAAAAGATCATGGAGTTGCAGGGATGTTGTTCTTCTCTAGGGAGCTCGGAGGATGTCTAAAAGGGAGGGGCAGGAGCGCATGAAGTTGCTGAAGAGGCAGTGACACTGAGTTATCCCCCTTGTGAGACACAGCCCACTGGGGTTGCACTGTGGCACAGCAGGTGAGGCTGCTGCCTGCAACACCCACAACCTGTATGAGCAGTGGTTCGAGTCCCAGCTGCTCCACTTACTAACCAGCTCCCTGCTTATGCACCTCAGAAAGCAGCAGCAGCAGACAGCCCAAGTACTTGGGCCCCTGCACCACTGTGGGAGACCCAGATGGAGTTCTGGGCTCCTGGCTTCGGCCTGGTCCAGCCCCAGCTGTTGTAGCTATGTGAGGAATGAAACAGCGATGCAAGATCTCTTTCTCTGTCTCTCCCTATCACTCGTTCAGATGAATAAATAAATATTACAAAAAAAAAAAAAAAGCCCCTGGTACATGCTCCATCAAGACTGGAGGCTGCCTGAGAACCACGCGAGTACAAACAGGGTGGGTGCCATGCAGCTGTACCAGCAAACGCCATTTCCGTGGCTTACAGGGTCTCTAAGTAGCCACAGCAATGAACCCATGATAAGTCACTAACTCTGCTGTTCCCCAGAGCTGTCCAACATGGCGGGCCAAAGGCCAGGGCCGGGCCAGGCTGAAGCCAGGAGCTTCTTCTGGGTCTCCCATGTGGATGCAGGGGCCCAAGCACTTGGGCCATCTTCTGCTGCTTTCCCAGGCCATAAGCAGGGAGCTGGATTGGAAGAGGAGCAGCCGGGTCATGAAGCAGCAACCATAATTGCAGACGGCGACTTCACCTGCTACGCTACAACTCGGTCCCGTCAATTCATTTTTAAATAATAGAGCTGTGGAAAATAATAAAGCTCTGGAATAGCTTAGCTGTGTGAATCTTCCATTTTCATTTGTGAGTTTTGTAAAATGTAAACATCGATTATTTCCATGGAAACTTAACATCTGAAGTGGGAGGGGCTGGAAGCCTCAGTATGAGAAAAGGATGCAAGAGATCCTGCTAATGATGTGAAAAAAAAAACAAAAACAAAAAACAAAAAACAAAAAAAAAACCTGATTTCAGGCTGAAATCAAACTCTTTGGGATAGGCTGGTTAAACATCTTGCTGCAATTCCTTTCACTTGTTTCTCTTTACTTGTTCAGCGCAGCTACCAGAGATGCAGCATTGTGTACTCCAGCCCGGTCCTGACAGCTACTCCAGATGTAGAAGGTAGGGGACACAGAAATGACAGCTGGGAAGTGGCCTCGGGTCTGAGGAACTGAGCAGCCCACGGGACCTTAGGGATCCCTTCGAGGAAGGGCAAGGCAGTTGTCGCTGTCACCCACCCAGCTCCACAAGTACCCTGGGCCACGCTGCGGTGAGTGAGGATGGAAAGAGACCCTCATGGCACCAAGCGTGCCAACCAGCCAGCAGCCTGAGAACCAGTGCTCAGCCATGCGCGCCCAGGGTCCCTGTACTGGGCGCCCCCGAATCCACAGCCCCGCACAGCCACCAGCTAAGTAAGGCCCCCACGGCTCCTCACTCCCCCAAGTTCCAAACCCCGGCCCCGCCGCCAAGTTCAAAATCACTTCAGCCACCGTGTGGGCCCTCAGTGGGAAGCCTCGCTCTGAATTGCAAACCCTGGAGCCACACTGCGTGCCCGGAACCTCGCCCGCGTCCTTGTGCTTCCCCAACACAGGCGGCCGCGGCCCTGGCCCTGGCCCTGGCCCTGGCCCCAGCCCGCCGCTGCGCTCTGTCGCGTCCTCCCACTTCGTCCAGGAGAACCGGACCAGGCGGGCCCGGGAGCCCCCTCCGGGAGAAGAGGGGCTACCTCGAGGCGCTGGCATCCAATTTAATCCTCCCACCAGGTCCGCCCCAAACAGGTGAGACCTTTATCCGCTCGCGACGGAAAACCACAGAGTCCCGCGGCTCTGCAGAACTGGGAATCGGGTCGTTTTCCTAAAGCCGAAGTCCCTGACGGTTTCCCCCGGCTGGAAGGCGGCCCTGGGCTCGTGAACAGGCTGGAAGACACCAGGGGCGCGGGAGCACCGAGGCGCCCTTATCTGAGGGCGGGGACAAGAGTTTACCACAGGCCCCGGAGCTCGGTCTTCCAGAAGTCTGCGCGCCCTGGCCTGGGCCCTGCGCGTCCCGGGCCCGCCCCGACCCGGCGCCGGAGCAGAGCGCGCGTGCCCAGGGCGTGCGCGGCGCCTCCCCAGGCCGGCGTGCGGCCCTGCCCGGAGCGGATACTCACGGCGGGCGCCGGCGCGCAGGCCGCGGCTGTCCCAGGGCGCAGTCCCCGGAGGCAGCAGAGTCGGGCGGTATCCGCCGGCCGCGGGGCGCCGACGCGGGCGTGGGCAGATTCCGGGGGCGCCGGCCGGGGCCGGAGGCCCGCGACCGCGCGGCGCCCGAGCGTCCACATGCTGCTCCGGATCTTCGGCCAGCTCCGCCCTCCGGCGCGGGCACGCTGTGGCGACACCTGGTGGCCGCCTCGCGTGCTCGGGTCCCTGCGTCTGTGGGGAAACAAGCCAGAGGTTAGACCTCAGGAAGAACTTCCCAGCTCTGCCCTTACCGTGCATTTACCAGAAGTGGAGAGCTTGCTTTGTGCTCTCCGTAATCTTTGTGCCTGCGTCACCTAGGCCCTGACTTCAGGGAGACGTTAGCTGGTGACCCGCCACGGCAGAATTCTCAATGGGAGGCGCTTGGGAGTTCCAAGCTCTCTGGGAGCTGGATGGGGTGCAGGCTCCACAGCCCGGAAAGGGCTCTCGGAGCCTACCTGCCGGCCTTAACTGCTGGTTCTGCTGGTCTCCTGGCTGTGTGACCTGTGGGCAAGTTAACCTCTCTGTTCCTCACCTGTCAAACAGAATTTATGAAACTCCAGCTTCTCAGGTTGGTGATACGGCTAACCTGAGTTATCTTCGCAAAGTGTTTCGAATAGGGACTGGTGCCTGCCACCTGCACTGTTTTAGTCCATGAGGACCAGGGTCACGTCCGAGGTAGTAAATCGCCGAGTCAGAAAGAACCTGCAGCCCCCATAAATCAGTTGAGCTGCTCCAAAAACCCTGGACTCCCAATTTCCCAAAATGTTTGTGAGAAAGAAACTTTAAAAAAAGATTTCTTTATTTGGAAGGGAGAGACAGGGAGAAGGGTCTTCCATCTGCTGGTTCACTGCCCAAATGGCCGCATGGCTGGGGCTGCGCCAGCCTGAAGCCAGGAGCCAGGAGCTTCACCCAGGCCTCCCATGTGGGTATAGGATGCAGGGACTTGGGCCATCTTCTACCTTCCCAGGCCATTGGTGGAGAGCTGGATCAGAAGTGGAGCAGCCAGGACTAGAACTGGCGCCCGTCTGCGATGCTGGCACTGCAGGCAGTGCCACAGTGATAACCCCGAGAAATAAACTTTCCCCCTCACCCTCCACCGCTGTTGGGGGGCTCTAGCTTTCTTGCTCTGGATACTTCTTTGGATTTCATTTATTTGTGTCAGAGGTAGAGTTAGGAAAATCTTCCTTCTGCTGGTTTACTACCCAAATGGCCCGAACAGCTGGACCTGAGCCAATCTAAAGCCAGGAGCCAGGAGCTTCTTCCAGGTCTCCCATGCAGGTGCAGGGGCCCAAGGACTTGGGCCATCCTCCACTGCTTTCCCAGGCAATAGCATAGAGCTGGATCGGAAGAGGAGCATGCCAGCACGGCAGGCAGAGGCTTAACCTATGCCACAGCATTGGCCCCTGGAAAAATATTCTTAAAAGGTAAGTTTATGTTGGTGCAAAATTTGAATCCATTCACAGTTTCTCGTAGTGTTCACCTTTAATGAACTTTTTCTCGATTCCAGGCTGCGTCAACAACAGTTCCCCAGCTTTAAGCCATCAGCCCCAGGGAAGGCTGTGATTGGCTCTGCTGGGACCACATACCCGTCCCTCGGAGCAATGGCTGTGGCTCAGGTGCTGAGGCAGCTCAGTGGGCCGGCGGCTTGGCCTGGTTTTGCTGCTCTACTAGAACATCCGGGCCTGGCTAATTTATATAGAAATGTGTTTCTTGCAGGCGTGGAGCTGGGTAGCGCAAGATCAAGGCACAGTGAGGTTTGGTGTTGAGCCAGGGCCAGGTCTCTGCTTCCTGGATGACACTGAACCCTGCAGCCTCTGGGGAGGAGAAATCCCAGCTCCCCCAAGGCAGAAGAGCAAGAACCGGCTCCCACAAGCCCTTTGACAGCAGCATCAATCCGTGCCCAACAGTGCCGCCCTCAGCTACTAAACACCTCTCCGAAGACCCCACCTCCTCATCCTGTTGCTGTGGGGACTGAAGTTTCATCCTAAACATTCTAAGGGCATAAAAGCATTCAAACCACAGCAGCCAGCTCAGGGGGCGGGCATACTACCTGCTAAGGAGGCATGGGAAAGCTTCCATGGCGCCCCAAAGCGAGAGATACCCCAGTTCCTTCTCACTGATTCCTGCTTGGCCCTGGGCAAAGACTGAGCTGCCTGCCCGGAGCTGAGCAGCTCTGGGGAACAGCAAACCCATTGTACTTGCTTGCATTGATTGATAAGAGAAACAGCTGAGGGTATCCACCACTGACAATGGCCAAGGGCACCTACCTGTGCCTTAATAAGAGATGAGAAAGAGCAGTGTGTCCCAGGAGACTGATTATGGCCCCAGACTCTGAACTCAAACTCCGGAATGAAATTCAGTGCGTTGCCCTGAGCTTAATATAGATTCCTTCATGAGAAACTCAGCAAATTAATCGATCGATCATTCCAAAATTTTTTGACAATAAACATGAATCATGTGAGTAATTTAACAAGCTGGTTATTGACACTTTTAGGTGGACGCGGGAGGTGGGGGAAAGAGGTGCGGATTTATTTGCTAAGAGGGGTTCCCCGCAGGGTCCCTTTGATGCCTGAAGCCCTAATGCAGTGTTCTGGTGTCTTCTGTTACTGCTGGGTAGAGGCTCTGTCATCTCCCTCTGACTCCCGGAAAAGAATTGCAGCTGTGAGAAGGGAGTGGTGGTGTTCAAACTAGCCGGTGTTACCGAACAGGCCACATGCGCAACTCAGCATGGAGCTAAGCACCCATTCTGCACCCAGACTGCGGTTTCTGTGGGGTTGGGGTCCCATTCTCCCCACCTTTTCTCCTTCCCTTTCCTCTTTTTCTGGGATATTACTGGGCAAAGGATTTTTGGGGCTTGGAATTCATGAAATTTCTCCTGAGGGTTTTTTTTTTTAAAGATTTATTTATTTGAAAGGCAGAGTTACAGACCAAGAATGAGAGAGTGAGAGAGACAGACAGACAGGCATTGTGTGAGTCAGGCCGAAGCCAGGAGCCAGGAGCTTCCTCCAGTTCTCCCACGTAGGTGCAGGAGCCCAAATACTTGGGCCATCTTCTTCTGCTTTCCCAGACCACTAGCAGGGAGCTGGATCGGTGGAGCAGCTGTGACCCCAATCAGCACCCATATGGGATTCCAGCGTCACAGGCAGTACCCTCACCCACCACGCCACAGCGCTGGTATCCTGAGGTTATCAGACCAAACAGCTCATGGCACTGGGCCAGAAAGATTCCCATGGAATTCTTCAAAGACTAGACGCCCCTCAGGGTCACGGGACACAGGGAGGACTTTGATGGGTAAATGCCAGGCTGCTCAAGCGTGCTTCCACGGCTGCTGCGTTCCTTCCCACACGAACTCTGGTCTTTTCCCTCCGGCCCATTTCACACACATAGGCTAATGTTTTCCTCCCTACCTAACGCTTATGCTATAGTGCAACCCCAAAACTAGTTGGAGCAGTTCCTGTAGACCCCTAGAACTGGGTCTGCTCGCCCAGCTCGCATTAAGCCCGTCACTGACACGGCGGGGGGGTGTGATGGAAGAGAGGAGGTATTTATTGCAGTGCGAAAGCAAGCAGCCGGGCAGCTGCTGCTTCATTGCTAGACTGCTCACGAGATTAAAGGCAGCGTAATTTATAAAGTGAAGGGAGTGCGGCAGTGTGCGAGATGTGTGTGTGTGTGTGTGTGTGTGTGGAGGGGTGTGAGTCTCTGATTGGTTCCCAGCATTTGTGGCTTTCCTTTGATTGGTCAGCAGCAGTGGCGGTGATGGGAGGTTGCCATGTATTTTTTGCAGATGTTATGATGGCAAAGTGGGCTCCTGTGGAGTAGACTGGTTATTGCTTTGTTTTGAACAGGGCTTGAAGTTCCTGAAAAACAACCGGCAGTCTAGCACCAGGATCTGAGTCCTAGGGGTGGTAATTGAGTATAAAGGCTTGCGCCACCCATGTACTACTCCCCCCATGGAGTTGACCAAGAGACACTACAGTGAAGGCAGAGGCACTGTAGGCTCAGGACGAGATACTGAGATGAGCTCAGCGGGGGAGAAAATCTACATCAAGCTACCAGGGATGAGGGCTCAGTTACACTTATGAGAAAGAGAAGAGCAGGCATTCGGCCTGTGGCGATGCCTGCATACAGTCCCCGAGTATCTGGGTTTAAGTCTTCCCTCTGATTCCTGGCTCCAGTGTCCTGCTAATGCAGACCCCAGGTGGCAACAATGATGGATTAAACTGTTGTGTTCCTGCCACCCACGTCGAAGACTTGGCTTATGGTCCCTGTTCCTGGCTTTGGCCATGGCCCAGCCCTTGTCCCAGTGGGTGTTTGAATAATGAACCAATGGATAGAAGCTCTTTCTGTCTCTCAAAATGAGGGAGGAGGAAGAGGAAGAGGAAGAGAAAGAAGATGGAGGAGGAATAGAAGAGGAAGAGGAGGAGGAAGAGGAAGAAGAAAAAGAAGAGAGCGACACTGGGGCACAGGTGGCACATGAAGAACCCCCACAAGGGGAGAGACCTTGGAGGAAACCCAGCCTGCTGACACCTTCATCGTGGACCTCCAGCCTCCAGCACAGCGAGATGACACGTGGGTGCTGCTCAACCACCCACTCAGGAGTCCTAGCAAAATAGTAAAGAGGTGAACCACGAGGAAGGCAAATCTCGTTTAAAGGGGCATACAGGAAACTGACCTGTGTAGTTCATGGTGAAAGGAATTCTGGAGTGAGATTGATCGGGACATTCAGGTCTATAAGACTATATTCTTAGACAAGTGTTAATTGCATCGTATCCATTTTCTACAAGTTGACATTCTTGGGACCTCATTCATAGCAAATAGTAAGTCAAGCATAGTCCCTGTGCTGGAGCAGTTTCTCAGGGGGCGACGCTGTTGGTACTCTGGGCTGGGTAGTCCTCTGTTGTGGGCCTTGTCCTCGTAGCTCTAAGACGTTGCACAGCAATCCTGGCCTCTGCCCAGCAGGCGGCAGTAGTGTCTGCTCCCCACCTCTCCTGCCCCCAGCTCTGACCGTCAAAAGCCCTCTCCAGGATTGCCATCTGGTCCCCTGGGGAGAACATTGCCCCTGGCTCAGAACCACTATTCTCTCAAGACCTTTTTTTTTTTTTTTTTTTTTTTTTTTTTTTTTTTTTTTTTCA